CAACTTTTTGATTGATTCTTTTAGTTAAAGTAAAACATTATAATAAGTTAAGTCCTGAATATGTCAATTGCAAAAACTTTTTAAACTCCAAAAGTTAATTAGAAATGATTACTACGATTTCTATCTAAGTGATTTATTACAATAAAAATGCAAAACAAATATTGAGCTTTTCTGATAAATTTACTGTTAATAGTATTTATAAAATATCCTGACTGCATATTAATCTTAACAATACCATTTTTTTAATTGTTATAAAATTTTCTATTTAATATGTCAATTTCAAACTTGTGAATTGAGCTAAAAGTTATGATATTAAATTCATTTTTTTTACTATAAACTATTATTAATTCATAAGTAAAAAAAAAAAATTATTATTATTTTTATAATGTATTGCATGAAGCCCTTTTAATTTCTACATATGTTTGTCATATAAATAAAAAATTTACTACTTTATAATTTTTTACGATTTCTCCGTAAAAATTACAATACAATATTATTAATTATCAATTGCACACTATATTTAATTGTTATAATAAATATTTATTCATATGTTATACTTTTAAATCTAAAAACTACTAATCAGGATATTATTAAGGAAATAGGAGTTGATGTTGTAATTGTCAATATGCATCAATTTCTTAGATTTAAACACTATCTACAGATTTGCATCGAAGCGTTTCTTATAATAGTGATTTTAATCACTGTTAGATATCATCTGTACTTGTTTCAACTATGTAACATCCATACAGTAACGCGACCCAAATGTGCTACCGTTTTTTTTTTTTATAAACATATATTTAGTTTTCCTGAAATTTTGTATGAGCTGTATTCCTCCAAGCCTCTTATCAATTTGCATCTATGATCAAAGTATATGCATATTATAATATCAATTAAAATATTAATAGATAATATTATAATGTACAGTTTTGATATTTATAAATGAATGACAACAATGTACACTGTGAAATTATTTTTTACATCTACGATAAACATTTCTTCAGTGCAAAAAATACTATTTTCATCTGTAACTTTCGAGATGGGCTGCTAACGATAATGACGTAGTGAGTCGTGGCGATGCTTGTAAAGTCGCCTTACTGCATTTGCGTATTGGACACCTCACTAAAATTAGCATAATAATAATACAGCGGCAGTAGGACAACGTCACTTAGGACTCTTAGGCGACACAGAGTTTTAGATGCAAATTGAAATTTTACTACCAGAAACACATAAAGACTAACAGTAATTAACACTATGATTCTAATCGTCATTATAAAAAATGTTGGTGACCACTTGATAACCATTATCATTAAAATGTTGATGAATTGTAAGAAAAATTTTATATTTGTGTATTTTAACAAGTTGAACTTACGATACAAACAGTATTTAACGTATTTACTACGCAGAGAAAGAATTATTTTCCAAAAATGTTTGTTTGTACCAATTTTTAATACACTCGAAAAGGATAATGTAATAACAAGTTTTGTACTTGAAACAATCAACAAAAATGTATTTTTTTCATTTAGTTAAAAATTAAAGTTGTAAAATTAATAAAAAAACAAAATATTGAGATTAAAACAAATTAACTTAGCAATCATTCTATCAGACCGGTTCGTTAAAGACAGTAGAGGTCTACAGATATTCGTTTTCTAATAAAGCAAATAACGCCATATAGATTCCTCTTCCGGTTTCTGCTTATCATTTAGCTAAATATTAAGATCAAAAATTTATATATTCCAATGACAACAGACATTAGAAATAGTGAATTATATAAAAATACTCTCTTCTTACAATATTTATACCTATAATGATATATCAAATTAAGTTTTTTAAATAATTTTCTTATAAATTAACAACCTTATACTTGACAAAGAGTAAATAAGAATTGTTTTTTAGAGTTACGTTATAAAAATGTAAAATCTATTACAAATACTTAAAAACTGAATTGTGATAATTGAAACTTTTTTTGTCATATTATTTATTTATTATATTATATTATTATATGTTTTATTTCGTAAAATATAATTTTTACAAACAAATATTTTTAATCTTTGCTAATAAATACATTATATATCATGTATCAGAAATACAATTAATAGCCGAAAATTCTTCAAATAAACAATCAATTTGTCATTAAATTATAATTTTTTCTAAGTATTTATTATGGAATTAGATTTGATATGATAATAGGTTTCAACTACAAATTAAAAATTTTACTTTGTAATTGACTAATTTTTTACTCTATTTGTGTGTGCTACTACTATTCTATAATAATGCAAATGTTTTGGTAATATGTTGCTATGTAAATAATTTCTAAAGAAAAGATTATTAGTTTCATCTAAATTTAACTATGGATTTTCATAAATATAATTAAATTAAAGCTAATGTAAAATGCTTTATTATGGAAAAAAAAAATTCGGACTTTTTTTTGTGTTCACTGTAAAAATAGTTACATAATGCTATTTTTGTGTGTAATTTTTCGATTTTATATTTTACACTTTTAACTTAATAATGCTATAACTTATTGAAGAGTGTATGGATCAATACAAATATTTTATGAGAAATAATTGTTCAAAAGCTCGAATTGGCATTACCCCTCTCAATGTAATGACAACAATCGTGTCCGGCACTACCGGCACCTTGCTGGCATTACGTCGGTGTACGCGATTGAAGTCGTACCGCATCTTTTGGGTCTGATGACTCGTGGCCAGTGAACTGGCGTGTTTTGATTTTGTTTCATTGTTTTCTTTGGTTGGTATTGGCCTGTTTAGGCGGCAACCAACAATTTACATTACCCGTTACGTGCTATTACGCGAGTGCTCAACTGAAATAGAGCAGCTGAGGTTGACATTCCATACGCAAAAGAAATAATTAATTGGGAAGCGTTTTGGCAGTCAATTCAACGTTAAATTGCACTATGGATGGCTGATGTTTTGTTTTGTTTGTTTTTTACGATTACTATTCTAATGTTAATATATTGATATATTGAATATTTATTAGTTTGTATATATATATGTATGCCGCCCTGAAGTAATACCTCACGGTAGTTCCAGGGCGGTACACAGTTGCGCCGGTCGGAGAAGAAAAAAAAAAAAATATATATATATATGTATAATAAAATTACTGGAATTAATATAATACGATTGTCAAGTAAAACCCCCCGATCCGTCATTTATGTTAAGATAATTAACTTAACGTTAAAAGTATAAAGTCGTGAATAAATTCACTCTGGGAATTGTAAGGTTCATTTCATTATATTGTTACAATAATATTTATATTTATATTTCATTCGATATACTTTATCTTATTGAGGATATAAATAAGGAAACAGGAGATAATGTAGATTTTGGAATAATTCACCAATTTTTTAAAATTAATACTGTCTAAAGATTTTCATGAAATGTTTAATTTTGATAGTGATTTTAATCACTGTCAGATATCTTTATACTTGATTCAACTATGCCACGTCATCACTGTACCGCGACACCTCTGTGCTGGTTTTTTTTTAAATAATAACACTTTACATAAAACTATTTAAAATTGCAAATGCAGATTTTCACAGTATGAAAATTGAATAAGTGACGTAAACATTTTATAAACTACAATTATTAAAAACAAAATCGAACAGATATTATTTACAAATAGAGAAATGTAATTAAAACTTTAATAATAAAAATTTCACCACCAAAGTAAATGTGTCTACAGGTATAATTGCTTAAAGCATATGCCATTCTTATAATAAAATGAGGGTTATATGAATCAATAATTCATCTTAAATTTGTTATTACATGACAGTTTTTTAAACTATATGAATTTTATTTTTTATTTTGTTTAAAATATTTACTATATTTATAAATAGATAATATTTATTATTTTTTAAAATATTAATCTTTGATTTCAACTTATGTGTTGTCAAAATTTTTTATTTATGACTTCACATTATGATTATTCTTAGAACATTAAAAATATGTTATTTTCAAGTAAAAAATTAATTTTTTATAATCAGCCAAAAATATATTTAAATATACTGCATTTGGAATATCTTACTATTAAATAATTTCACAAAGTATATGAATTACTCTTGTTATTATTTAAAATGTGGTTCAAGTTTTCTAGAGAAGTTGTGCTTTTAGTGCTCCTTTTTTTAAATTTATTTATCCATTTTGGTAATTTTGTTTTATTAGAAACTGGCTATAAGAATTATAAAGCAATAATCAAACGATACAACATAAAAGACGACATTACATTATTAAAATGCACTTACTTGTTTGCTGGCATAAATCATTTGAAATTAACTAAGATGCTTTTTGAACACCAGGTTTGTAATATAAAGAATATAATTTCTTTAATCTCTAATGGAAACGACGTTGTAAAAAAACAGGTATCTTCATTATATTACAATAAAGAAGAAGTTGGATCATTGTGGTTACTCAACTTGTATACGTCTATTGTTGGACTTTATATAAGTAATTTGTCAAATGAATATTTGATAGAAAATAAACCTAAGGTTGTAGAAATATTGACATGTCTAGAGTTTGTTTTAGAAAAATTAAAGTTGGAGTCAAATAATTGTCCACAAAACAGTCGATTTTACTTTGATAATATCGGCTTTGACTTAAATCAAGTCGACAACTATGATTACATTTTATCATTTATTTCGAAAAACATTCAGGATATTGAAAATCTAATTGAAAGTAATAACAATACTAAAGCATTAGTATTCAGAAATATGAAAATGTTTAGTAGACCTTATTTATACTTACAAAGATTTGGATATTTTGACATAGTTGTGTTTAAGTTTATTAATAGTTTCAACTTACGAATAAAATGGGGGGAAAATATTGCTAAGAAGTTTAAAAAGGCTTATGATAACGCCAGTATACTTGATTGGTCAACCAAAAAATTACGTTCGTGTTTGTTGTTCTATTCAATGGTTTTCGACTTATTCAAAGTAATTATGTTAAGATTGACTTGGAAACAGTTTTTATACATTGAACTACAAGGTGCATCATTGATTGTAAATCTTACGGATCAATGGTTAATGACCCTTCAGAATTTCGCCAAGTATCTAGCATTAGGAGAAGACTATGTAATTAAAAATATAATAGATAGTATTTTTCAGCACATTCATAATTATCCCTCGGAAAACGAATATCTAATATTAACTTATCAAAAGCTTTACACAAAACATTTGATAAATTATATTAGCAATAATATATCAAATCTTTGTGAAGGGTTAGATTGTACGATAGTTGAAAATTGGGATTCGGAAGAAATTTTACAGACATCCAATCAAATTAATTTTTACTTAGATCATAATGTACCACTATCTGATCAAGTATTAGAAGAAATTCAACATGATTGGAAAAAAAAACTATACTTAAATGAAACAATAAGTTTTGGAGATTACCTCCATTTTTTATATGATGACGTCGATTTTAATGTTATTAGATCATTTATTGATTATATAGAAACATTAAATAGTTATAGTCTATTTGATAGAGAAGTTAACTGATTTTGTCACAGTATTTGAGTAAACCAAAAATATTCAATTACAACATTAGAATTACAATTTTTCAAATTATTACAGAATTCAGATGTCCACCGCTTAATTAACCAACACTGTTAAAGCATTTTGGTTCTATAAAATCATTTCCAAAATAGTATTATAAATATTAAGAAGTTTGGCTTTTTTGTTTGATAATATATTTTTGTAATAGTTTATATATTCGTAAAAAATATTTTTATTTACCTTTAAGAAAAATTTAATTTTTGTCAAAATTAAAAGCGCAGTAAATTAAAAGTAAAATATTGATGTAGTATAAAAATAATACTTAATCATAATAATTAAATTACTAACTATTTATAATTACTAACAAATTATTGGTTATGTCTTTAGTTCAGTAAAATCACATCTCTTACAATGTTAAATAATATTATAAAAATTAAATACTTTAATTATTCTATTAAATAATTTGTGTATAATATTTGTATTAAATTTTGTACAATGTAAGGGCTGTATTTCTCCAAGTCCCCCATCAATTTGCATCTATGGGCAAAGTTTGTATGAGTAATTTAACAGGGCAGTAGTAACACTTACTTTAAGATAAACGCTGTATATTTGTTTGAACGGAACGCCCGGTTATAATGTGCGGGTTAGTTAACGTTCAGTTATGTTATTTAATTATGCAAGAGAAAGAAATAGGGAGTGGACTGTATTTTCGTAACACAAATAAAAGAAACAGTATAAGTAAAAGGTTATGTGCACGAAGATGAATATGAGGGTGTGGTGCCTGCTGTCTAGGTATTCACGTGTGTGTTGTCGTACAGCAGTCACCGTGCTCGGCTGACACTCCGAGTTAGCTGTGGGTGTCGAAAGGCTGTTGTTATAGGAAGGGCATCAGGGTAACACCTAGGTATGAGGTGCAGACGAAGTGCAAGACACAAATACTTTGGGTATAGGAGAGGACAAAGAACAGGGGTAGCCGAGTATGAGGTGCAGACAAAGTGCAAGACACAAATACTGGGCGTTCCAGATAAGGAGTATAACCAAGTACGAGGTGCAGACGAAGTGCAAGACACAAGTACTTTAGTTATTAGGAGAGGATAATGAAGTACGAGGTGCAGACGAAGTGCAAGACACAAGTACTTCAAAGAGAGAACGAGGTAGCCGAGTATAAGGTGCAGACGAAGTGCAAGACACAAGTAATCTGAAATGTTGTGGAAGAGAGTAGATAGGTTTAAAAAGGAATAAACAAAGACTTTACTTTAAGCAGTAAGCCGGACAGCGACAACCGAGTACTGAGACTGATGAATGACACAAGGCACTGGAGTCGACTGACGACGATGGTACGGTCTATTGGGTTTTTAAAATAAATAGAATTATTGCCAATTTGGCAATCAATACTATTTGTTAATTCATCAGTCTCAAGAAGCAGATGTGCTGTCTGTATTTTATTAAAATAATTCTCACAATAATAGTAACGTGACACCATCACAGTATATAAGAGGATGGTACTTACACTAAATAAAAAAAATAAGAATTATAAGACAAGGAGTTATATATTAAAGTAACAATATATATAATATATATTATATATTATATATATATATATAATATATAATATATAATATATATTATATATATATATATATCATAGAATTGTGGATTGGGGGGTCACTTAATGCCAAAATGGCCAACAAGGCATCTCTGAACAAAATAGGTAAAATATAATATAATAATTACAAATAAATAAAAACTTAACTGTGTAACGTACAATAGATAAAAGATGACTGATGACGGTGAAAAATGAACAGTTGGAGTACTTCACATCAAAATGTTGAAGACTACAAGGGTAGTCGACACAAACGGAGGCACTTGTTATGTACACGAAGGGCACACAATGGCATAGATTGGTATAGCAGTTCTATACCCACGACGAATCACTAGGGTCGTTAATCCATTAAAGCGACTATGAGCTAGGTGCACCATAGAACCACGTAGCAAGGGCTAGCAATGGTGGCGAGAGCGCAAAATTCACAAAAGGACCGATAATAGTTCGGCGAGACACAATAAACACGTAGACTAGCATCCGACGCAATGAATCGCTCACACAACCGGTGGTGGTAGTGCGAGAGACGTTATCAGTTATAGAAATACGATGTAGCAAAACGCCCTCTCGTAATGCGTACCCAACAATATTTTCCATTAGTGTGCTTTGCTAAGGACTAATGCTGTGATTGGATAACGTCACTTACGACTCTTAGGCGGCAAAGACTTTCAAATGCAAATTGAAATTTTAGTACCAGAAACACATAAAGACTAACAGTTATTAACACTATTATTCCTATTCATAAATTTTTTTTCAATATTTGCAACAGCTCCTTCTAAGTTTGCTACCTTTCTTTCTAACATAGGATTATTTTCAATTCTTACAATTCTTTCTTCAGTTCTTCTTATCCTACTATCAAATGCTTCTACATTATTAATTCTATCATTTATTCTTGCCATGTGACTATGTATTGAATCTATCTTTTCGTTTTGTATATCAATTCTTTTATTTATATCTTCTATTTGTTGTTTTGTTGCCATATGCTGTGTCATAAAATTATATAAATGTTTTAGTGTTATCTCTTCATTATCGTTGTGACTTTTTTCACATTCCCCACTGTCATCATCCTCCATAATGGTAAAATTTTTTTTTCAATTAAAATCACGTAAACTTTTAAAAATAACCACTAAAAAAAAATTTTAACTAATGCAACACAAAAATTTAATTCAATAGATATGCACAATGAACAAAATATAAAATTTAATTGAAAATTATTACTATTATTTTTTTATTATTTTTTATATATATATATATATATATATATGTATCAAAGCTACTTTAAATTAAAACTTTGTGTGAAAAAAAAATTATCCACTGATTTAGATAAAAAAATATACATAAATTTTCATCAAAAATAACAAAAATGTATTATTTTTAATAAAAAAAATGAAAATACTTTAACACACTTCAAATAAATCACTTATTAGCATTAATTACCAATTAAATTAATTAATTAATCTTTTAGACCATCCTTGACATTAAGTATTACACTAAATCAATGACTAATAACAAGAGTATAAATATCAGTCTTAAATATTTAATATGTAAATTTATTTTATATATATAAAATAAGATAATTACAGTGATTATTGATTAAATTTTGATTATGTAGGAACTATGTTTAAAAAAATACCAAATGAAACAAAACTTATGGTGATAACTATAATAGTCCTATAATTATGTTAAAGTTACTAGAAAAAAAAAATTGTATTTAAAATGGTATTTAACTATTTTAAAATATTCAATAATAACTAATTTTTTTTTTCAGTATTGAAGTAATAATTTTAATATCTTTCTTAAACACCAAAAAATAATAATTATCTGGTGATTAATTAGAAAGGATTTTAGGACATTTATATTTGTTTTGAAAGAAGACTGTGGTCACTAGTTCACACAAAATTATTTATATTTCCATACAAATAACAATAATTCAAATCGTATTAAGTATTTATAATTTACAATAGCACCTTGTGCAATTTAGTAATAAGAGTTGACAAATATAACTTAAAATTTTTTTTAATTATTTATATAAGGACGTCGATTTTAATGTTATTAGATCATTTATTGATTATATAGAAACATTAAATAGTTATAGTCTATTTTATGGAGTAACATTCATCAATGTTTACACTATATAAAGTATGATATTTGTGTTGACCAAGAAAATTCAAATAAAATGATGAAATGACAAATGTTCAAATTATTACAGAATTCAGATGTCCACCTCTTAATTAACCAACACTGTTAAGGTCTTTTGGTTCTATAAAATCATTTCCAAAATAGTATTATAAATATTAAGAAATTTGGCTTTTTGTTTGATAATTTTTATATATTCGTAGAAAAATATTATTTCTATTTAACTTGTAGTATAATAAGTAAAAATAAGAAAACTTTCGTTTTCGTCAAAATTTAAAGCGCAGTATATTAAAAGTAAAATATAAAACGTACTTTTTATACTATAAAACACGCCGTGTATAAACATTGATGTAGTATAAAAATAATACTTAATAATAATAAAATAACTATTTATAATTATTAAAAATACCTTTAGGCTTAACGCGAAGGTTAGTGAATAAATAGTTCAAACTTTAGATCTGCTTTTATTCGTACGGGAATAGTTTGGTTTTAGTTTAGAATTATGTTATTAATGATGAGCGAAACTTGTAAACCGATATTCATTTACTACTACGGAAATAGTCTGTCACCTCGGGCGTTTCTGAAAACAATCTATCACAGTCCCATCTCTTCGACAAAAGAATACATATTATATAGCAGAAAGAGGTAACGGCCAAATAAGCATAAAGAAGAATACAATTTCAGTGAATTGAAAACAATACTTTTTATTTATTTAATCGTTTAAAATTGCAATAATGTGGTGATTGCAGTGCTTAAAAAAAATAATAATAACAATAATAATTAAATACAGACAGAAAATATAAGGGTAATAATTTTTTTTCAATTTACCACTGTTTATGTGACACAACACACATGGGCTCATTACATGTATTGCATGACACAAACGGGGTATTTAAAGAAATGTAACAAGAACAACAATAAATATCACTTATTATAGCAATACAACACAATTAAAATATAACATAGTGAAAATGCATTTAACAAAAAGACACTTAGCTATGGCTATCCAATTGTACAAACACAATTAACACAGAACAACTTACTCATTAAAATCTTACAATGCTATTATCTATATTATTTTTATTTTTTTTATGAAATCATTTAATTAAGTATTGTATATTATAATGTAAAATATGCTAACATTTATTAAAGTTTATTATAAATCTATGCAAAAACTATGAAAGGGGAAATATTCCGCCTTAAAAGCAGACACATTACAGAGAATAGTTATTTTAATATAAAATTTACAATAAAACTTATTATTATTTACATACTATAAGGCATTAACAGTTTAGCTATATAATATATCGTTATCTTAGGTATCTATAAGTCTTATAATTTTGGGTTAGGCTATAAGTAGTTTGTGGCGGAAATGTACTGCTACTGAACACCCTTTTTGTGATCAATGTTACAATCTGAAAAATAATAATTATCATTAATTTTTTCAATAGAGCACAATGTTATGATTTTAAATGAGTAAATTAATGAATTTACATTTATAGTCATGGTATTTATTTATTTAATTAAATAAGCGTATATCATTTTGTATCAATAGTTGCTAATGGTTTGTTAAAATCTATAAAATTATTTATTGAGCTCCAATTTTTACTTTTAGTCTAGGAATCGATTCTATAGCACACAAGAAATAGTATAAGTTCATTGTATTTCTATAATTTTAATGTGAAGTGTTATTTCTTAACCATTGGAGAATTAAGCATAGTGCTTATTATTAGGTGTGGAGTAAATGTCAATACAAACATGACTTCTACTGAAATTAGTTAGCGCGTCTTTTATAAAAGTAAGTTCATTACCGATGGGAATTCATGTGTAACTACAACTTGATGAAATAACATTCGACTTAAAAACAAACACTAGTAATGCGTTTTAGTCTACACAAACTAGTAGTGAAATTACGTGTTATGTTGTTATCTATAGAGAAATCAAGCTTTTTGTTGATCGTGACTTGTATCCGAATTTATGCTAAAAATACCTATTGACTGTGCACGTCAAGTTTAAACTATTCCTAAATCTCAGAAATAATACTTATATTATGTGTTTGCGATTGCATTATAATAAATAAAAGCGTAAATTAGCATGACAACGAGTAATTTATAACTTAAATTCAAACTGAATGATACTTAGAATCTTATGTAGTTGTTTTTATGTTTTTACAATTTTTCGAGAAATTGCTATTTACCTCATCATAATAAATATCGAATAGTTATCGCCGTATTTATATGGGTAATTTTTCAATGTATATTAAACTTACTCTGTAAATAAAAATACATTTGATTCTTTCAGTACTAAAGTGCTCTAATCAGTTTATTAAAAAGTAAAAATTATGCAATGATTAAACAATGTTATACATGCGCACTTAAAAAGATTCATAACATTTAATGATTATTTAAGTCTACTATCTATTAATATTTTATTCAAATTAATTTCCGTAGAGAGGAAATTGTTGGAATACTGCTACAATAAATATTTTAATTTTAACTTTTACAGTGGTTTGAATTATTTATTGAAAACTTATTGTAATACGAGAAGATTTAAAAATATTCATAGATTTTGAGTGAATAAATTATTGTGCATTTTATCATATTTTATTATGTATTGAAATTAAATTTTTTTCTGTAGAAGACTTGTAATTAATATTTCTAAAATTATAAACATATTATAGTATACAGTGTATTCAGTAAGTAAGGAAACAAGTCAGTTGTTATAAACAATAATAACAATGGAAATCCGTATCGTTACTTACTGAAACTATATACATTTTTAGTACATTTTTTAAAAAAAATCTAAGAAATTATAGTACAAGAACTAAACGGCAATATAGTGATAACGTTACGTAATTCTACGCTTATGTCTCAAATGTATCTATATTCAAAAAGTATTAATTCTTAAGTAACCTACTTTTTTATAATAGTATTGTCAGTGTGATTGAAATTGTCCAATATTAATATATTTTTGATTACTCTTAACAATAGCTTCTTCTTAGATAATTTTTTTTTATTGTAATTTTAACTTAAAAAATACTTAAACAAAGAAAATTATTGAATTTATTGAATAAAGTATAAATTCTTTTAAAATAATATTTTTAATTTCTGATTTGTACACAAGTGTCAGAAGACTAAACAAAAATAATTATACACAGAATGATTGATTTATTGTTGATCACTAAATAACCCTTAAAATCATAACTATTTGTTATTTTTACGTGATTAAATATTATTAGGTCTATTCTTTATTTTAGCTTCGATGCGAAGCTGAGAAGGTATTAATTTTACTATGATGTGTTTTTTTATTTTTTTTTTTATTTTTT